CTTCAGCAACCAAGTGCATGGCAGAGACGACCCAGCCTGGCCACGAGATAAAGATCCTGTCAATGGCGGACGTGCGTCGGCGAGAGCCGTTGTAGCGGGCGTGCTCGCCTGGGTCCAATTCGACCAAGCGTGCAGAGAGCTGCTGCCATGGAGACCGAAGCTGTCGCCTCCACGCCGGCGCAGATGGGCCCTCGGCAGCCCCCCCCATCCGAAGGCACTTCGGGCCGCGGAGGTACCCGAGAGAGGTTAAAGTCGCCAACAACGACGACGAGGTGGTGCTCTGGGCCCGACAGGGCGAAAGCGAGCTCCGACTCGATAGCACGTATGATCATATGCGCGCCATGTGTGTTGATGTCGTGGTTATGCATGTTGAAGCGCGAGATGCAGCGATACGAATCGGACCAAGACTGCACCTCAGGGCCTAAGAAGAATTTAGCGTGGAGCGCTCGACCGCGAACTAGTTCCTTGACAAAGACCGAGGGCCCGTATCCTGGGAAGGAAGACGGGGGAGGGAAGAGCGCGACGACGCCGCCCTTGTTCGAGACGGGGAGGAAGGAGGAGACCGCTGAATACCTCGTGGTGGACATGTGCAGAAAATCGTAAAGTTCGAACCTGCTTCCGCGAGCCTCCTAGAGACCAATGATCCTGAACCCACGGAACATTCCCAGGAAAAAGTCCTGTTTCGCTGTCCGCACTCTTGGGCAATGATGAAATAGAGCTCTCGCATTCCACGCGGCCAGCCCGAGCTCGGGTGAAGACAGGCCGCCAGTCTTCAGGAACCACTCGTTAAAGACGCCACTGAGCGGGCGCCGAGGGAGCGGAACTCGAGCTGGACGAAATAGCCTCGACAATCCTTGACTCAACTGTGGCGCGATCGATGCCCTTCGCGCGGAGGTTATCTTCTTCCCATTCAATGGTCGGCATCTCATTCGGCTTCGGAGTGATGCGGAGGAGGGGCTTCCACTCGCAGCTGGCAATGCCCGTGGACTTGTCAGCGTGGAGCTTGAGGTTGGGGTCGAAGGAGGAGAGGATTTTGCGGGCCTGCTTGGTCGCGAGCTCGCGGCGAACCTGGAACAGGTTCTTGTCCTCGGAGACGCGCAAGTCGACGGGGGCACCTGTCGGACCTCTGGCCTGCATGCGGCGGTAGGAGCCGTCCTCGAGGCGCATGTTGGAAAGCGCCTGCGACACCATCCTCGCAGCCCATCCAGGCGCGCCCATGATGCGGATGGTGAAGCGCTTCGCGGCGGGCTCGCCCTCGACCTGCCAGCCGCCCTCCTCGAAGTTGGAGTCCGCCAGCCATCGTGCGACTGCCTGGGGTGATGGCCTCGCAAGCAACCATCTCAGCAGCAGGATGACGAGGATGCATGGGTTGGTGCGCCGCGCGAAGCCGCCGGCGCTAGGCGGGGCAGCAGGCGGCTCGTCGTTCTGGACGGCGAAGAGGGACTCCTTGAGGTCGGCGACCTCCTTTGCCATGATGTCCATTCTGGAGCTGAAAGTGTTCTGGCTGGCCTCCATCCTTGCGAGCCTCGCTTCGACCTGCTGGCTGAGGCCGCCGACGTGGGCGGTAACGGAGCGATTGAGTTTGAGCATGGTGGCCTGCAGGGTCTGCATAGCCGAGAGAATCTCTTGCTTCTGAGCGTCAACATAAGTTCGAAGATCACCGCCAGGGAGAGAAATAGGAGTAGGATGGTCACCGTCGCACGACTGCTGCGACGGGAACGTGGGGACGGCCTCGAGCTGGCGCTCGAGCTCCTCGACTTCAGAGGCAGCCATGGCCGAGATCCGCATGAGGCAGTCTGGGCCGCCTTTGCCTCGGCCTGACGACGCGCCCTCGGTGCGCGGTTGCTTGTGCTCAGGCGAGCGGGAGCCGCGAGCCTCGCCATGCGGGGGCATCAGAAAGAGGGAAGAAGGGGCGGGTGTCCGCCAGCCCTTGACGGCTGGATAGCTCGGAAAGGGCTGCCGCGCTCAACCTCGGGCCTGTCCCGAACCTTGAGCCAAAATGGCTACGGACATCCCCCTCCTGCTCCTCCTCCTCTTCCTCCTCCTCCTTCTCCTCCTCCTCCTCCTCCTCCTCCTCCTCCTCCTCATCCTCCATCCCCCCCACCTCCTCCTCCGCCTCATCCTCCTCCTTCTCCTCCGCCTCATCCTCCTCATCCTTCTCCTCATCCTCCTCATCATCATCAACCTTCTTCTCCTCCTCATCCTCCTCCTCCTCCTCCTCCTCCTCTTCCCTCCTCCCCCTCCTCCTCCACCCACCCACCCCCCACCATATCCTCCCCCTCCTCCGCCTCCTCATCATCATTCCTCTCCCCCTCATCCTCCTCCTCATCCTCCTCATCCTCTTCTTCTGCTTATTAGTATTAGTATTATTAGTAGTATTATTAGTACGATTATGAATAATATTATTAATACTATTGGTATTAGTATTTTGTTCATTTTCTTCTTATGGTTATTTTTCCTCCTCCTCCTCCTCCTCCCCGTCCTCCTCCTCCTCATCATCCTCCTCCTCCTCCTCATCCTCCTCCCCCTCCCCCCCTCCTCCTCACAAGCAACGTCATCATCGTCACCATCAACCGCGACAACAACAACAACAACAACAACAACAACAACAACAACAACAACAACAACAACAACAACAACAGCAACAACAACAACAACAACAATAAGCATAACAACAGCAGCAACAACAACAACAGCAACAGCAACCGCAACAGCAACAGCAACAACAACAACATCAACAACAGCAACAACATCAACAACAACAGCAACAACATCAACAACAACAATGGTAACAACAACAGCAACAACAGCAGCAGCAGCAACAACGACGACGACAACGACAATAATAGTAACAACAACAATAATAACATGTTCGGCAGCAGCAGCGACAACGACGGCATAAGCATCATCATCAACAGCATCAGCATCAACACCATCATCAACAACATTAGTATCGCCGTCGTCGTCATATTATAAGCATCGTCGGTAACATCATCATCATCATCAGCAGCATAATCATCATCATGAGCAGCAGCAGCATCAGCATCAGCATCAACAACGGCATCATCATCATCCGCATCAGCATCGACATCAATCGTCGCAAACAACAACACAAACAGCAACAGCAACAACAACAGCAACAACAACAACCACAACGTCACCACCGTCAACATCGCCAGCACCATCGACAACAACAGCATATGTACCATCATCATCATCATCAGCAGCATCATCATCATCATCATCAACAACAACATCATCATCATCAGCAGCATCAGCATCAGCATCATCATCATCAGCATCATCATCATCAGCATCATCATCATCATCATCATCATAATCATAATCCTCATCATCATCATCATCATCATCATCAGCAGCATCATCAGCATCATCATCATCGTCACCATCACCATCATTAGCATCAGCAGCATCATCATTATCATAATCCCACCAGCCCTTTGGGCGTGAGTGGTTTAGAGAGCCCGCTCTGTCCTCAACCCCCCTTCTTCCCCTTCGGGGAGGGGTTTACCCCTCCCCCTACCCCCTCCCCCTGGACCTGGAGAGGGCGCCCCGCGGGTCGTTGGAGGGGTCTTTTTCGACTCCTGGGAGGGCCAAAAAAACGACAACCTTCACGAGGATTATGGCCCCGAGGGGGGGGGGGGGAGCTTGGTCCTTGAACTCGTCGTTGAAGTAAAAAACATTGATTTTACTACTGTGTTGGCCCCATTTTGGCCTTCTGAGGGGGCCGCGTTCTTCGTCCTTCTTAGCAAAATCATTGATTTTACGAAGGTTTTGGGCTGATTTTGTCCTTCTCAGGGGTCAGCGCTTATTAGCGCTTCTGAGGAGATCGCCAGAGACCCCAAGATAGCCCCAAGAGGCCCCCAGGAGGCTCCCAAGAGGCCTCCAGGAGGCCCCCAAGAGGCCCCCCAGAGGCCCCTAGAGGTCCCCTCGAGGCTCCCAAGAGGCCCCCAAGAGGCCCCAAGAAGCTCCAAGAGGCCCCCAAGACGCCCCCAAGAGGCCCCCAAGAGGCCCCACGAGGCCCCAAGAGGCCCCCAAGAGGCCCCCAAGAGGCCCCACGAGGCTCCAAGAGGCCCCCAAGAGGCCCCACGAGGAGCCCGAACGACTCACACCAGGACGAGGGGCCCGAACGACTCACACCACGAAGAGCCCGAACGACTCACACCACAAGGAGGGGCCCGAACGACTCACACCAGGACGAGGCGCCCGAACGACTCACACCACGAGGAGCCCGAAGGACTCACACCACGACGCGGGCCCCGAACGACTCACACCACGAGGAGCCCGAACGAGTCACACCAGGAGGAGGGGCCCGAACGACTCACACCAGGATGAGGGGCCCGAACAACTCACACCACGAGAAGCCCGAACGACTCACACCAGGACGAAGAGCCCGAACGACTCACACCACGAAGAGCCCGAACGACTCACACCAGGAAGAAGGGCCCGAACGACTCACACCAGGACGAGAAACCCCAAACGACTCAAACCACGAGGAGCGCTTTCTCTCCCTCCTCCTCCGCCTCGTCCTTCTCCCGCTCCCCCCACAAGGAGGATGTACAAGGAGGCGGGAGGAAGGAGGAACAGGGGAGATATGCGGGGCCAAGCGGACACACGCCTGAAAAACACGACTGTCGGCATGCTTCGCGAGAGTTGCTGCTGTGAGATGGGCTGGTGGGGATACGCGAAGCGTAAAGAATTGACAACCTTAGCATCATCAGCATCATCAGCAGCAGCATCACCACCACCAACAGCAGCAAAAACATGCCATACCACCCCCATCAGCATCATCGTCACCATCAGCAGCAGCAGCGGCACCATGATCATCATCAGCAGCAGCAGCAGCATCAGCATCATCATCAGCATAAGCATCAGCATCAGCATCATCATCATCATCAGCAGCAGCAGCATCCCTCGTCCTCCTCCTCCGCCCCCGCTGGGAGCAGGCCACGGGGCGGCCGAAGGCCAAACGGGACGGGTCGGGCTCCTGCCGAGGGCCGCGTAGGTCCGCATCAGGCCTTCGCTCCCCAGCGAGGGGGTCGAGCACGAGGACGACGAGGACGAGCACGAGGGCGACGAGGACGAGCACGACGACGACGAGGACGAGCACGAGGACGAGCTGGAGGACGAGCACGAGGACGACGAGGACGAGCACGAGGGCGAGCACGAGGGCGACGAGCACGAGCACGAGCACGAGGGCGACGAGGACGAGCACGACAACGAGCACCAGCAGGAGCCCCCCGCCGCACGAGTGCGACGAGGACGGGCAGGAGCACGCAGCAGGGCGAGAAGCGAGCGAGGAGCCGCGAGGAGCGGCACGGAGCCGCGCGGAGCGGGGCGAAGCAGCGCGGAGAGCGGAGCGGAGGAGAGCGGAGCCGAGGGGGCGAGCCTTCTCCTCCTCATCCTCCTCCTCCTCCTCCTCCTCCTCCTCCTCCTCCTCCTCGTCCTGGCAATCGCAACTGGGCCACCTGCGTACAGCACGACGTGCAGAGGCAGGGACAAAAAGCAGGGACAAAAAAGGAGAGCGCGCCCCTACGGCGGCCGCTGGCCCGCCCTCGACTCTGGCACCCTGGGGGATCTCTGACCGGCGGCCGCCGCCTCCCTCCGCGCGCAAGGGGGCGAGGGCTGGGCGGGGACGAGACGGGGGGGGAGGGCGACGGAGGCGAGCACGGGGGGGCGGGGGGGGGACGAGGACGAGGACGAGGGCGAGGGCGAGGGCGAGGGCGATGGGGAGGGGGGGGAGGGAGGACGACGACGGGACGACGGCGGGCACGAGGGGGAGAAGGAGAAGGAGATCCTTCCTCCCCCACCTCATCCTCCTCTTCCGCACCCTCCTCGATATCATCGTAATCATCCTTGTCTTCCGCCTCCTCATCATCATATTCCTTCCCTTGTCTCCTTTTCCTTCTCCTCCTCCTCCTCCTCCTCCTCCTCCTCCTCCTCCCCCTCCTCGTCCTCCTGTTATTGTTGCTGTTGTTGGTGTTGCTGTTGTTGTTATTGTTAGTGGTGTTGGTGTTGTTGTTGTTGGTGGTGGTGGTGTTGTCGTTGTTGTTGGTGGTGGTGGTGTGGTAGTTGTGATTCCTGCTCATCCTCCGCCTCATCATCCCATTTTTACTCGTCACTCACCTTACCCGCCTCTCTATCAGAATCGTCAACAGCATCATCATCACCACCACCATCATCATCATCATCATCATCCTCCTCCTCCTCCTCCTCCTCCTCCTCCTCCCCCTCCTCCTCCTCATCATCATCATCATCATCATCATCATCATCATCATCATCATCATGGACAACACCAGTAGCGGCATCCCCTTCAACAAATACTCAATATGAATACTACTCTCCTCTCTCCCCACATACTGTGCGAGCTGGGCGCTGGTTCTCCCGCACCCTGCTTTTGACGTATTGGATTTTGGCTTGATCTGAAATGTGAGTGTGTGTGTGTTTCCATCGGAAGTGTGTGTGTGTGTTCCCATCGGAGCTCCTCCTTTCGGATCCTCAAGATGGCATTCCTGCTGCAGCCTGAGCCTCACTTCAGGATTGGCGCTTTTCGCCCCTCGTTCCGGACGGCGCTCTCGCCCAGGCGCGGCACTCACTTCTGGATCCGACTCCTTCCTCGTGAGTGTCGCCCCCCTCCTCGTCCCTCCTCCGCATTCCCTGGGTTCTCCTGCTCCTTCCGCTTCTCTTGACGAGCTGACGGGCTGAAGGCGGCAGGATCCGTCGGGCGCAGTCGCACATCCTGCTCCTGCTCCTGCTCCTGCTGCTGCTCCTCATCCTCCTTCCTCGCTACCTTCCTCCTCCTGCTCATCCGCTCCCTCCTCCTCCACCGTACACATCTCCCCTCGCTGATAGCGCATCAAACCATAGAGGGCGCGCGTCAGGAGGAGACTGGCGCAGGGGGCGGAAACCTCGACCTAGAAGCGGCGATCGCCGATAGATCGGCGATACAGTCAACCCATATGGTAAGGATGCACGGTAATGCTGCAAGGCCTTGGGAAGCCACGTTGACGTGTTTCGAGTGGTGCTGGCCAGCGAAAGTTGCCAGGGATAGGCCGAAGCAGGTGACCTTGGAACGTCGCCCATCCTTACTGTGCGGGTTGACTGCATCTGCGACGACTGGGCGACTGGGGGTCGATGCATGCCCCCCTGCACCTGTCTCCCTCTAAGGCTTCCGTTGGACAGGATGGCTAGGTCGGGCCTGTCCCCTACAGGGGGATTTTGGACGAAAAATTTGAAAAATCAAAAAATATCCCCAATGCCCAAAAATATCCAAAACATCG